TCTACAAGTTAGAGCATTGCAAATGCAGGAAACATCTACATCTCCTAAAAAAGTAAGATCACACAAAATGATGCACATTTCAGAACAACAATCATGCGAGACAGGAAAGTTGTGCGCCAATATGACCACCATGCTTGACATAATTGAGATGGATCCTACTCTTGTATAGGCCAGATCTGAACTATCCAGAACACTGAACTAGTTATGGGTCATATCTACAACAGTCCTATATGTTCCCCAAATAGAAAATCTACTGCGGTATTTTTTTTTTGTCAGAATTTTGAGCCTTCTTTCTGCCAGGAGGCACCGACATCGAATTCAATCGGCCGGAGGTGTGGGTGTACACCACCACCACCAAGGTAAGAATCCTCTCTTGATCAGATGTGGATGCCTATTGTCTAAATTGATGCCTCGTTCCTCCTAGCTATCCATCATTTTTATTCCAGTTAAAATTTATCAATAAATTTCTGCAATAAACATCTCATTTGAATTGATAACCATCACTTCATAAAAATACAACAATAAATCCTATGAACCTTAAATATGATATGATTGAGAAAATAGAATTATCACCCATTTAATAATTAAAGTTGGAACGAATAATCCAGGTACACTACAATCAAGCGACCAATTTTTTAAATAAAAACAAATGTCGGGTAAAAAGTAATAATCCATTATATACTGCATAAGGCTTGAACGGAAAGACAAGAGTAGAAGTTATTGGTTGGTTAGGACTGATTCCAGCCCATACCACGTGCTAGCGATGAACCTAGCAAAATCCAGAAAATGTAGAGCAAGTTGCCAAATTCTATAAAGAAACTTTGGCTTCTATAACTTCAAAAGTCCTCATCTACTTGTCCTTTCCTTCCATGCTCCGGGCTACCTTATAGGATGACCAATACTAGGACCCCATAAGACACCAACTTCTTTTGAAAAAATAATATGTTTTGATTCCAGGAGGAATTGTCTGAAAGAAGCTTGGGCGGTTGGAGGGCAAGGGACTAAATATTTTCCTCAGACTGCAATTTGCAGCAACGCACATGGTCTTTTACTATAATACACAAGTTTAGCAGCACTAATATCATTAGTTTATGCCACCAAGAATCTAACATGTACTCAATAAAACCTGCAAACACAGATGCAGGTAAACGACCAATTTTACCTGCAATAAACACTATCTCCTTGAATGGTATAATTCTCCTTGTTGATGATTACTATATTGGATCTAACATGTAGGGAATCAAATGTGAGCTGCATATGTTTTCCTTCATATCTTTCACTTCCTACTTACTAGTTTATGGCCAACAAACAAAATTAGGGTCAGTGAATCATCCCATTGTTCCCCTGATTAAAGATTGGGGGCTATCCATCATTAGCATTTGCTTGCTGCAGTGGTCTCCACCTTGCGCTACAGAGCACGAAACACCTATTATTTAAGCCACAGTCAGGGAAACATGGCTAAGGTAGCCTTATTTGCTGTCATACTGTTGTCATATTTCACTCTCTATTCTAGAGTTCATGCCCTGAAATGAGGGCTTTCAAATGGTTATGCATATCTATTTTTCATAAACGAAAATAATCAAGTTGATATCCAACCGTGTATCAAAGTAGTAAAATGGTATTGATCCCAAAAATGCTCTACAATGCTACTGCAGTAATGCCCAAAAGCAAGTCATATATTACGTTGAGGTTTTATGAAAGGTAGATAGCACATCACTAACTTGTGTGGATCTCACAAGGCTCACTAGTTTGCACCTTACTCTCGGAAGTACCTAACACATGTGGACCATTTAATCACAGCAGGTGAAACCAAAACACTGCTCAGTAACCTTGATGGGGTGCTGATAAGATAGAAATGTATGTCACTTGCAACCTGCAACTTGATTACAAGCTACATGTGACTAGTCCCAATTTTGTCTTGAGTCTGTTGTGTTACCTAAACAAAGGCTCCTCGTCACATCCCCAACTTATTTGTTAGTTGATTGCAGCACAAAGTTGGCAACATTTAAGATCGCCCGAATCCTAGCAGGGACCCGCCTAACTTATGCTCTCGAGAGAAAATCCTTCTTTGTGGCTCATGATGACAAGTTTAGCACATAGTTTAATCCCAGGGATGACCTCACCCATTTTACTCCAAAGCAATATATACATAACACTCAACTTAGCAACCATATCTCCTTATTTTTCTTCGCAAGTGCTTTTTGGGCCACCACAGGAGATTTAAAATGGCTTGGCTTAATAATTGAGGTTGATGTCTTCCTACTGAATAAGTTTGAAAGCTAGTTAACAAACCCAAGCAATGTGAGCAAGGACTCTAAACTACGTTCTAGTGTTCCAAGTGACATTACCTACTCCATAAAATAAGCACTTGAGATCGGGTGGATTTCACTTAAAGTCATGTGAAGTGATTCTCCTATACTTAATCATGCAACAAGGGAGTAAACAAATACCTAGACCAAAATCTAATAGTCTAGAATGTCTAAAGCTTAACAAAACACTAAAATTAAACGTCACCACCGGAAACAATATAAAACATAGAGATCCAGTGTAGCCCGCAAATTAAGCCAATACGGCTACGATTATGACACTTGGTAAATATAATACAGCTCAGCAAGCGAATGATCAACAGATGGGTGCACATGGATTAGATGTATGATTATTCCAAGCCCTACTTGTGTGATGGCTTTAAGAAAGAGATTAGCATGTAGTTTAGGTAACATGATGGTGGAGGGAAGAGCTTTAGATAATATAATCTTTGAAACTTTGGAATCCACTTGGTGATTAAAAAACAGTTTATCATGAGGAATTTTTCTGGCAAATATTAGTGGAAGTGAGGTTACTAGACTAATGTTTTTTGGTCTTGAAACCATGGTCAAAACTAAGCCTTTGACAAATATCGTATCTTGTGTGATGTACTAGGCAAGTCACATGGTTGTTACTGGTAACATCACACCACAAGTTATCTCTGGCTTTCTGGAATATTGGTAGCTCCGCACTGAAACTAGTTCCTTCCCCTCCCACTTTGAAAAGGTTAGAACCAACTACGATTTCATTCAGAATAAATTACTTATTTACTTTCCAGTCTGCTATGGCTTTAGCAAGTAATGACAACATTTGGATCATCATGTGAGATAATCCACTAGGCGCTTCGTTAATCAGAAGTTCTTAGTATTGCTACGAAAAGGTTGATATTAGTAGAAGGCAATTGCTACCAGTTATTGCTGAAAACTGATCTTTTCACATTCTTATAATTACCAAAAACTATTAGTCACCTTGTTTTATTACATCATGACATCATGTTCTACATTAAAGGATAACTAATCAACTATGAGAACCCAGCATTTCTCCAGCTATGCAAGCTTCTGGAGTATTATGTGAAACTCAAAAATAATTAATGTGTCAGGTTGCCAATTGTCATTACCACCAAGCTCAGCACAATTAACACCAGGTTTCTAAAGCTACAACTTCACTAACGCTGTTGCCGAACCATGCATTTGATCTTTTAAGGTTCACTAATAAAAATTGATTAACATAAAGACACGTATGTAGTTGTTCCATGAGGAAATGAAATAAAAATGCAATATTACAGGGAACATGTATATAAATGTTTTATGAGGGTTAAAGTAACATTACCAGAAAAGGTACACTTCCATAAAAATTAACATATACAGGTTCTTGGCTGCACATCATAGCCAATTCAAGTTTTATAAACGGCCCGTTAAAAATGGAGGCAAAGCAGCATCAACTTCAAATTGTAGAAACTTATGTCAAAAATACAACGAGAATATAAAACATGCTAGTATTCAATCAAAAACATAGTTTTATGGAATATGTATTCTCCATTGTACTTATTGGTTGTTAAGTGATACTAAAACTATTCATGATATGTGGTAGTAAAATTGTATGGTCCCAGATCAGGAGCTAATCAATTCGTGTACAATTTGCACATGAGATTGGAATGCACATAAGGATAAGATGGCAGTAAAGAAGAAGATGGGTATAATAAACCAGCCATGAATTGAAAAGGCGATTCAACTATTATTGCCACCTTCCTGTACCCTATCTCATAGCAGGAACGTCTAGCAGGTCTTGCCTTCTTAAATTAGCACATAGCAGACTGTTCTAGATCTAGTTTTAAACTTTACCTAGAGAATATTATGCTAGATGGTTGCAAATCACATTTAATCATAAGCTGACCTGTGCAAGTTAATCACCAAATTTCTATATTAAACTTGAAAATACAATGCAAATTAGAGCTACATTAGCTTTACTCCGCGTCTTGTAGATAGTAGTTAGCTTAACTGATGCAAGAAGGTGCAAGCTTTTACTTAGCATAAGAAACTTCTGCAATCTATTTGTTGCCGACAAGTTTGGACTGACATATCAGCATAAGAAAATAAAAAAATGGATTTTGCTTTCAAGTCCTTGTCAAATAAGCGCTGAGGATCTCCTACAATAATCTTTTAAAGGGTGAGGTAACGTGGGGGCATAGACATCTCTAACCATAACATGACACACTACTAAACAACTTTACCACATCAAGTTGATGAAAACGAGTTGTACGGTCAAAGATAATAAATTACCTATATCACCACTTTGCAGGCAGATGATCTACCCCAACAAGGACAACTAAGTATTTATTTGCATGGACAAAATCACAGAATTAGGAAAGGTGGAATGAAATGGTCTACATTCCTCTTTTACATCAGACTAATGTGTCAGTAACCTACAGAAGTACAAAGTGTTTTTACATGACCTTCATCAAATGGACCTATTTTATTTCCAATTTGAGTAAACCATGAGTTATCTTTAGGAAGATGTGCAGAAGAACTCTACCTTATCTACACCCTGCTAAGTTTTTAACATCCTCAAAACTATAGGACACCCAACTTAGTGCACCTAAGGTTATGCAAATTATCACATCAAACGCTTCCAAAAACATTTTCGTGTGCATTCATGTATCTTCCAAAGGTAGGCAGATCCAAGCATCTAAAGAATCATCAAGCCCTGTTGAACTTGTACTTCTGGACCAGATTAAATCTCTCAATACTTCCACTAAAACCCTTCAGCACAAGGGTCCTCACAGCATCCACCCCTTGCTCCAACGCGGTGTCAATCTATATAAAAATAAGATAACAGGTTTTAGATCAATAACCATGTAGCAACAACCATATCTGAGAGTTCCTCCCAGAAAAGGGCAGACCAGTAGAAAACGAGAACCAACACTGCAAAACTTCCCCAAGTAAGCTTGAGAACAGTTAACAGTACATATAAATTGAGATAGTCCCTTTGCGTCACCAACTAAAGTATACAACCTAGTTGTAGTACCAACAAATGTGAAGTATGGCCAGCGAAGAATCATATCATCATTATTTGTTTGTACTTACATATGTTCACCGTGACTTCAACATATATTTATACTCATCAGTTACAATAATCCAATGAAATCATGGGAGATATTTATTTCCTACAGCCAATGTTCAATTGAAATGTTATTAATTAGCGGAAATAAACTCTTAGAATGCAATTGATGGTATGGCATTGGCTTTTTTGTCTACTAGAAAGAGAAAAAAACAGATGAACATACTGGAAGAGGACAAAAGATCACAAGAAAGGGATTTCACACTATATGCGACATCTACGACGAAATTTCGAACATGGTGAAATCAATACCTGAATTCGTTCCTCTGAACTAAACTTCTGCAGAAGAAAAGCTCGTGTATCCATTTTGCCAGGTGGGCTACCAATGCCTGTATTCAACAGTCAACAACTCAAGGTTGGCATGACCCGGATTTTCAGAGAAGGCACTGAAGTGCTAGCTGGTGAAACATAATAACATATACCTATAGATAAACGAGGAAACTCCCGGCAGCCATCCAAATGCTCAATTACATTCTGTAGGCTGTTTTTCAGTGAAGATGATCATTGAGAGTGTAAGCAATAGATTGTGAAATGTAAGTAACATATTTTACCTATTAAAACCACAGAAACAGCACTTCAAATGCATAATTTATAAGCAAACTGATGCTAGTATAACATAAAGCCTACAACAAAAGGAACTAATATTTTCCACAATATTAAGTTAGAGGAGGCACACATTATTCGAGTATTCCAAACTCATACTGCAAATTTTTGACAGATCAAAATTGTATTCTGTAACTCCATGTAATACATGTTCTGGCTCAATCCTGGCCTCCTGAGCAAATTCATATTTGTTGTTCATGAGCTCTTCAAGCAAAATCTCAACAGGAGCTATATGAACTTAACTTCCGGTATGATTTCTGGAAAATAAAGCAGGCCCATTTTTGTTATATTTACTCTAAATGAATTCCATTCTGGTTTGCCTTTTGAACTCCAGAATGAGAAAATGAAGTGACTGAACTAAATCTGATGCATTATGTATGTAAGTAACATCAGCACGTTCCATGTGACTAGAAGTACTAAACATACTAATTGTTCAAATTATTTGGAACTTCATATATTACCCATTATGGCGGCCATGGCCACCTTTCCGTTGAAGTCGCAATACACCATTGGGCAGACTCATGTCATCATAAATCTGCAAAAAATAGAACCCATTGGTTTCAGTCGCAAGCGCATGATACCGAGTTGTTGCGGTAAGATACTAAAGAACAATGATAGTATGTACCACAAGAATGTGCCTCAGAGGTACTTGGTAATAGGCAGCAAGCGGTCCAATCTTCACACAATAGAGGGATGTTTTTCGTTAGTACATGACAAATTAAGAAGACCAGAAAAAATATTGCATCAGAAAAGAGACAACGAGTGTTCAACAAGTCCTGTCACCTACTTATAGAAGTTAGTTCACTTCGATAAGACATGGTCCATGATATGCTAATAGAAATGAGAACTGATATGTATAGGCATAGTTGTGAAACACTCTAAGATTAGCAACATAACTGATACTTCTCTGCAGCCAACTTAGGTAACTTTTGCTTTGTACAAAAAAGGCAACAGCATTCATATTGATAGATAGGCTGTGGGGATGTATTTTGCCACACAAACATTGAAGTAATATTCTTGAAGTGAGTATATCACAAATCTATTGCACCAACTTTTCTCATAAATGATATAGTTCCCAGGAAATGTTTACTTCAAGAAGGACAAGAATAAAGACTCACTGCTTCACCACAATAATTCATGTATGATTGTGGCTTTATCAGCAGCACTGGTACCTCCCCAATTAAACCTGTACCAAAATAAAACCCAACGGATGAGTGGAAACACAATTAATCTGAAGATTGCAAATGACTGCAACATGCCATTCATAACGATGCTTCCAGTAACAAAATGTGCACTCAACTAGCCAAACTTGATGCACCAGACTACTTTCATCAGAAGTAACATCAAATATATGCCACTAGTACCTCCAGTATATATATGTTTTGAACATGACGGTTAACATTCAAAATCAGGAAGGAGCCAACAACACAAATTAATTTTCAAGAGAAGAGATCAGAACATTTTCAAAGATGTCATCTGCAGAACAATGGAGTAGGTTACCTACATGATCAAAAGGTGTAATACTCTGACACTTGAGAGCAAATGCAGATCAAACACAAGGAAATGGTGTTCCATTTCCTCTTGACAGATATCGAGTTTACCATTTTAAACTTTTAGTACAAAATCAAGTGTTGAATTCGAAACGGAAGTCCAGCATGAATGCATTGTTTGTAACTAAAGATAGGGGATACTTCGGAAAAACTACCAAGGTTTTGTCTATTACCATCTGTGCTGGTGGAAAACACAGTCCACTTTAACTGGATATTACATTTTCAAAGAAATCAGAGTTCTGTTGACCCATATTAAGTGCCTTACTACTGAAATTCAAGAGGGGAAAGACTAGGCAATGAAATCCAGTTTCCCTAGATTTTATGGAAGGTGGAAAAAAACATCCCAGCCTGTTTGTTCATAACTAAATTAATTTAGAAGTGTAGAACAACACCTGGCCAACAACAACTTAGATCCACTTTGCTAATACTGCAGAAAGACACGCTTACACATAACCAAGCTACAATTCATTGTCAAGAAACTGGTAAAAGGTTGACTTAGATGTGGGGATGGGTGTTCTCCACAGATCACTTGCTTCAGCCACCATATTTTATCTAGAATATAAGTCATGCTTCTGCCCTCCTGGTGCTAGCATGCTAAGAAGGTTACAATTACAGTACCAAATATCGCCGTCAAGCTAAACAACATAGCATGAAGCGGAATTAACATCTAGGCCACATGGCATGCCTCTTAACTAAAAGTCATCTAAAAAAAGGCGTCCAGCTTGCAGCGGTTCACAGAGCAAGCAGTAATTGCGAAGCACGATACTGAAAACTGCAGCACATATGTACACGCTGCGAGCGAGGAGGGAGCGAGCGGGGTACCTACTCCGAGCAGAGACTTGGACTGGATGGTGTTCATCACGATCCCTTCGTCCCGCGCGATGCGATCCACCATCTCGAACCCCACCTAATCACACGCAGACGCACACACAGGCGAAGTGAGGGGGGGGGCATGTCATCTCGAATCG